TATATATATATATTGAAAATTGAATTGATGTATTGAAAATATTTGGAAATACTCCAGAACACAAGGATGCATGAAATATGTGAGTTGGCGGGTGTACGAGTATAATGGCAGACGCGAAACTTGGGGAAAAATCGTCACAACAGTTAAGGTGCTAGCGTTGACTTCAGACGAACAAAAACTTTTGCCGTCAATCCATTTGTTGGTATCAAGCAGCCACAAAACATGGATTCTGATATTATTCCGTGTTAGTGGAAGTAATTTATTACAGGAACAATATTTATCCACGTTTTCGATACTAGGGTCCCATACTATAATTTTTCGCGAAAAATCGTCAATTTTTGCCACATTAGAGTACTTTCTCTTTACTACTTACGTAGTAAATCAAGAAAACAAAATGACTTGTATCTGTCAGCTGTAACAACTATATTTGTCATTTGTAAACCGGTGTCTCATGATACCCGTTGCAAATAGTCCTTGAATAATTTTATTTTACTTCCAGTGAACAATCTACACAAACATGAATTATTTAAAGTGTCACTGTTTGCACTCCTTGTAATTGAAAAAATGTAAATCGTGGTCACTGTATCCTAGTTCTTTCGTTGCAATTTCAAATCTAGTATTTGCTTTGTTAATTATAATTACATGTTGACATGTTAATTTTTTGCAATTTTCGATGATGTAGAGAGTTCACCGTAAATAGAACATGTTTGAAAGCGTACTTATCTACATTCGACAAAATTTTTTAAGAAAAATGTTGAAACGTTTTGAGAAAATATATACGTTTTTAAATTGCAGTTATTTCACGCACAATTACTTGCAAACTACTTAGATATTCGAAAAATTGTATATGAACCAATTGAAAACCTGTCTTTGAAGAACAGATTTCAATTTAAAAATGTTTATCTTCAATGTTGTAGTGGTAGGTAGACGCCGAAAACATTTGGAACTTTCGCAATTTCCAAAAATTCTGAGAGTTCGGGGAAAATGAGACCTGTGTCATTTTAAGGGGCCTTTGCTCTATCTCAGGAAAAAAATTGAGCCATTTTTGGAAAAAAATGAAATGTTGTAAAGTACCCCCCAAAATCAAAATATCCGTTTGAAATACTCAGAGTCTCAACTTCGGCCAGATCGAACGAGAAAATCAATTTTGAAGAAAATGGTCTGAACAGTTTAGACGCTACGACGGACGGACTAGCGGAAAAACTGACGGGCTGATGTAACGGACTGACAGGCGCTTTGGAAATCAACACCTTTTGGGTTCGAGGGCCTCCCAAAAGTGTACTACCGTCAAAACTGGATATCGATTTTTTTGTAGCATTATATTACTTTCCCCATTCTATAAGTACATTCTCGAGAAAGTAAAATTAACTTTATTAGGTTACAATGTTACATTTTTAAATGAGTATTTTAATAAACAGTTCTATTTAAAAGTAAAATTAAATTTCATCTAATCAGCATACGGCAGTCTTTGATAGAAACAGCTGAAATCGTCTAAATAATAACCATGTAATATTGCTACGAATACTTACTTTCAAAGACAGGTAACTTATCAATCTTCTCGTGGAGCTTCTTTTGCACGTATAAAGTGTAACTCGGTTCATCCATAAGTAACTGTGCAGGCACCCAACCTTTCTGCTCAGTCAAATGCTTCTTTACAAACCACCAGTCAGAATTATGGGTCTCTGAGGGAAAGAAATAATAATAATAATAATAATAATAATAATAATAATAATAATAATAATAATAATAATAATAATAATAATAATTTCAAGCCACAATATCCCATGCAAAACGTCCCGTTTAATCATTATTCGTCTAGATAAAAAAAAGTACAAAATTACGATGCCCTATAAAAATGATCCACAAATAAAAATGTGTAATAATTATAATAACCAAACAATATATTAGCCAAATGTTGCTTTTGTTACAGAAACATGACGTCAAAAATATGTAATGGAATATGACTCAAGTAATAACAACAAAACATTAACACTATAGTACAAGATGGTTACAGCCCGATGGTTAAGATGGCAAATTCGTCGTATTCCTGTCTCTGACGGAATAGTTATGGATACATTGAATAGAGATGGAGGTGCTGTTAGAAGTAGTTTCGAGGAGGTGGGATGTGTGTGGGGGTGATGCATCTTATTGAAGATTGGTGAATTGACCAGGGTAAGTCGGTGGGAAAATATGGGATTGGATGTGGGAAAAGGAATAAATTTAGAATTGTCTGTTGCTTCTTATATGCGTAATTGTGGTATCTTATCAATGATCAAATGGAAGGGTGTTAGTCCGATCAATGTTTGAAGTTTGTGTAGGTTTGTCATTGGTGGTGAGCGGTATGCAAGTCTCACATAGCTGTTTTCAAGTCGCTCTAGTCTGTAGAAGTTGGCCAGCCGCAGTCGTTGCACGGGTCTCGCAGTCGTATTTAATTACTAATATTGTAGGTATTGTGTATTTAGATATTTGCCTTCGGGTCAATTTTGGGATTGGAAAGGAGGGGAGTGAGACAGCTGGAGTGGGATTTCTTGCAAAGTGTCAGATGATCAGTCTAATTCACTACAGTATTTTGTCGAATGAAATACCAAGATTTTCGTTTGATGGTCGATGTCAATTTATTAGGGGTACGAGTATTATTGACTATACTGAGCGTTACTTGTTCTATCTGCGGATAGTCGTGTCTTCTTAATTGTCTCGTAAGATGATGGCATTGCACTTGGTCGCGTTAATTATCAGGTAATTGTCTTCTGCCCAGTCTCTGAGAAAGTCAGCAGTCTCTTATAGTAAACATGCCACTATCAGAAATGTCCTGACGCTGAGGTAGTAATTTATTCGAAACAGTGTTGGAACGTCATCTGTGTGTAATGCGAAAGGGTGGAAGACTGCAAGGCGATGTCCTGAGGGACCTCAGTCTGGATAGGATGAAAAGAGGATTTGCAAAAGAGGTAGAGGAGTTGGAATTTGCAGTTGGGAAGGTGGCTGGTGAGGTGTTGATGACCGAACGTATGGATTGGGGCTGATTTTAAATAACTGGCGTTTATGATTGTTGGTGTCGAAGGCGTCTGTAAAGTCTATTAAAGGAGTTTTGTAAAATCTACAAAAAGAGACAGTACTGATTCGTGTTGATGAAGTCGCGTGTATATTTCACTGGCTATTCATAATGCCTGCAGCATTGATTGGTTTACTTAGAAACCGTATTGTGTCGGTCGTTTACGGTCCTCGATGTTTTGTCAGATGTTTCAGTTGGATTGTTTTTCGAAAAACTTGCGAACTGTTGAGAGGAGGCTGGTATGTAGGTGTTAGAGTCTATATTATCTTTCTCAAGGTTGGATATCATTTTAACTACTGCCATCTTCCAAACATCAGGGTATCAAATTAGTCGAACAAACTTTAACTAGTTATGATACAACAGCAACAAAATTTTTGCATCCTTTTTAAATTTGAAATTTTTGTTAAATTTAGAGAGTTTAGTGAAAATGAGACCATTGCCATTATTTTAAGTGTTCCTTATTCTATCTATGGAAAAAATTGAAGCAAAAAATTGGTTGGGTTTTTGAGATATTTTTAATGAATTGCATTACTCTCGAGCAGAAATTATGCAAAAGGGGCTCTTTTTTAAAAATGTAGATGCCCATTTTTAGAGAACTGGTTTTTAGAATTGATTTTGTTTATTGCAAAAGTCTCTATCTACAATTCTGTAGTTTTAAAATGTTAACTTTTCACATTTGTCGAAAATACAGTGTTCACTGGAAATAAGAGTAACGCCAAATTTTTTCTGACTCTCGTCGCGAAAGTGGAAGTGAAAGAGCGGTGGAAGAATGATTCATCACCAAGTACTGAAGTTCGTGTCTCCGCGAGTCGTTGGTTGCGTGACAAAAAATACATATTTCAGCTCCCTGTATTCTCCTTCAACCTTTGGCACCGGAGTTTTATTACAACAATACATGAATTTATAAACGTAAAATTGTTAAAGCTAGTAAAATAGTATTATCAAAATGGCTCTTCTAACTTCTCGTTAAATGTTATTCAATACTATGTTTCTACAAAGGCGCGCCCAGGATTTTGGGGTGGGGTTGCTAAAGATATAGTGTCCAGATAACGTGATGCTTTATTGTAAGGAATTTTTCAATTATGCTGAATATAAAATATATTTTTATTTGTTGACTTGTATTCAATATTTGTAACAAGTGATATATTAATTGCCTCTACATTAGCGTAGAAATCTATTAGTAAAATCTATATTTTTAAATAACGTATCATGGCTTCTCGGGGAAGAGGCAGAATTCCAATGAGTCACCACAACTCCGTCCTAGGGTGCATCACTGGGATTCTAAATACAATTACTGTACGTTAGAAACAGTTCCAAAAAATTCCCCTTCTTACACATTTTTTTAAAATGTGTTGCGTCTATATAGACGCAATGCGTCTCCTAGATCCTTAAGGGCGTTGAACGCACTATGGAAGAATCCTCCGTTAACATTTACAATTATTGGAGTAATCCTCAGTTGTTAAACGCCCTCTAGAGGTCGCTAGGTAGTCAAGTCACGTCAGTCGCAGTCAAGTCAGAGAATCTCCGACAGGTAGAGTCTTCGCGCTCGCGTCTCGCACGCGCCCTGTGTCATCTACACATCGGCCAGAATTGGGAATGTATAAGGATAGAGGAAACGTTTAGGGGTTGGCTTCACAGGGGTTGGCCTATATAGCCCCTGTGAAGTAGGCCAACTCGTATTGTCGTAATACGTTTCACATGAGATTCAACGGGGATTCTACGGGAATCGAACCCGGAACCTCTGTGGTGCAAGGCAAGCGACCTTCGCTCTACACCATGAGAGTACAATTAAGCGTTATAAGGGAAAATCTGATTTTATCTCCTCTTGTCTCAATCCTCTAGTGCAAATTCTAGCTATCAGAGGCGGATGGGCAAGGGCCTCCTGCTCGCGCAGGGAATTATTAATCCTTCTTTAATGAGGTGATAGGATGATGATGAAGGGACGACCAGCATACCAGCATTATCCAGCACTCATAAGCTAGAGTCTTGCAAACCCTTGTTTAATAAACTAAGGATTCTTCCTCTACCATGTATGTACATATTTGAAATAGTGGTCTTCACAAAGAAAATTCTCATGGAAAATAAAAAAAAGACACTTTTACTTTAAATTCTGATGTACACAATTACAACACCCGTCAAAAGGATAACCTACACGTTCCCCACTCTGAAACAACACTTTATCAAAAAAAGTACCCTAATAGAGGGCATTACACTTTACAACAAACTAGGAAATGATATCAAAGACATAAACATAATTCATTCATTTATAAGTAAATTGAAAGCTTTCCTGCTTAACAACATGTTCTACAGTGTAAAGGAATTTTCAAATTACATTTCCCTTAAAAAATATAAATAAGTAAGAATTTCTTATCCCGTTAGACTTAATGTTTCATGTAAACTGTTTCAAGCTGAAGCAAAGAAAAAAGAACTGCATATCGCAAACAGGAGAATAGAAGAAAAAAACTGGTCAAAACTTGCCCCCTCACCATTTCAAGGTATAAATATAGAATGTACTGCTATTATTAAATTTGATGTAGTTGCAAACATAATTGATATGTATTATTAGTGTAATTATTATTATTAATGTAATTATTAATATTATTATTATTACTATTATTACTATTAATATTATTGCTATTATTATTATTGTATTATAAGTAGTAGAATTAAAATAACCTATTGAAATGTTAATTATTAGCAGATAATTTATCTACTGTATATCTTAATCTAACTGTAACAAGTATTGTATTTCTAGGCCAATGACTAGAAATGAGCAAATGCTGAGATGGCCCCTTGTTTGCTCCTGAACAGTAATGTAACTTCGTTCTCTCCACCCAAGGCATCATATTGACTCGTCATACACGATTGTAATTGTATATGTGACTCAATAAATATTATTACGACCACAAATACATCCATGCCCAAGGCGGGATTCTAACCCGCGATCCTTCGATCCGAGATCTCCACGACACTGCAGCTTTAAATATATAAAAAACGTATTATATATATATATATATATATATATATATATATAGGTATATATGTATAATAGGTTTTTAATACAAGGTTTTCTGACGGAAATGCGCCATTTTTTACGCACAGCATTACGTAACTTCCTCTTTACTGCGTAAGCGGTGGCGGGAAAGTAATAGTAATAATTTGTTATTAAAATCGTTGAATTCAAAGCTGCAAAACGATAAAGGATTAGGGTATAAAAATGTCCATTCTATGATACAGATGTGAACAGATTAAATTTAAATAAAAACGCATGATATCGATTTTCAAATTAAAATTCGCTTACATACAAACATTACTGTCCAGGGCTGAAGAAAGTCGATAGGATTGCACAAAATATGTCTCAAGCCTTTCCTATTACACGTTTTCTTGAGCCTTTACTAATATTAGTTGAATTCAGAATATATGATAACATCATGTTTTGTTGACAAACACTGATAACCAGACGTGTTTGCTCCTGCGTAATAGAAAATAGTTTGTATTGAAAATCGAGCTACAGATTTCATATAATAGCCCTGTCAACAAAAAAAATCAAACTCTCCACTCCCCTCGTATCTTGCAAAATGAGGGCTCAAGAAAACGTGCGTGGATAATACTTATTCTTATATTAGATTTCTTTATCTTTTCCTCTTATTCATTTTAGATATTCTCTTTCTCTTCTTGAGTACTTATTACCGTCAGGGGCTGATCCAGCCAATCATTTGGTAGGGTGCCATCGTAGTTTTTTTGTTATATAATCAACATTTGCTATTATATTTTATATAATTTTTGTAGTGTATATATGATACCATACAACATTTTTAAAATAATTACTAAATTCTAATATAAATAATTATTTAAATTATTTTTTCAAAATAAAAGAACGTAACAAACGAAAACTCTAGACACTTTTTTTGGATCTGGATCCACCACTGATTACCGCGCCATTTCCAGGCGCATGCTAGCGATCCATGCCATGTTCTCGTTTTGGGCACACTGCAATGGCGCGAAATGTGACAGCGGCCTACGATCACACTTGGCATCGAGAGAGAGACTTAACTCCGTAGACACTTTCCGGTTGCATCGGCCACAGTCCAATACGTGGAAGTGGCCGTAGCAGCGCTTGTCAAGCGGAGTAAGGAGATATGTCACGCCACTGGAGAATGTGTATTTTCCATACGTACCACTGGGCTAAAATACAGCGAGAATCAAGATTCCTATTCGTAACTAAAAGGCTAAGGTCAGAACGCGCGGTTGCTTTATCGATACATTTTAGACGTTTATACATTTTTTTCTGGTGTTTTTGATTATTATTCTTCCTGCACTTTTACCATTTATTTTCCCTAGGTCTTTTTTTAGGAGGCATGCCCCCTTCGATTCGCCACTGCGAATACATCAGTAACATTAAGTACTTGAGTTACGCATTTGAATTTGTTTTGTATGTCATTTTTCTTGGCTTTTAGGGCATTTTAAAAACATTTTAAGAGTTTTTTATTTATAATTTTTGGCGATGATTTAGGTGATCAAAATCCACCCCTAATTATATTTCTGTATTCTAGGGATACTATATAAATTTTATATGATCTAAAAATGAAGATTGTTTTTATTCAAAATGTTTTGGTTGAATGTGTCATATTACAGATTATGTAAAATGATGCGGGCTAATCTCAGCTCTTTCCTGATTTTATTTGTTTTAATTATTATCTGAAATTTTTTTGCTTGAAACATTTGTGCAAGTTAAAATTAATGGTTCGCACCTGTAGCTCTGCTCATGATACCATTTCATACACTCTCTTGAAGAGTGATAAAGTTCAAAGGAATAAATAAAATTTCACAATGATTTTCTGATTGAGAAAATAATCTTACCCTTTGCCTACATTGACCAGTTCAAGAAAAATTCAAAAGGATACTGTATCATTATTGAGAGTTGCTGATTTGAAGTGTATTTAAATTTGCAAGGTTAGATTTCATCTTGAAAGACATAAACATTAATTTACAAAAAAAAAGTATAAAAGTATTACTAACCTAAAATATAGACTCGTTCTCCTTCCACCAGATTCAATGCATCTTCATTATCAGCTACATATGAACATAAGGAATAGAACTTATGTCCTTCTTCATATTCTGTTACAATTACTTCTTCTACCCCTTAGAGAAATAATACAATGATTTGTAATGATTTATCTTCACATTTTATTATCAAAGAAGTAATGCAATGAGCGAAAACACATTTCATTCTAGTTTATAAAATGTTCTTAAATTTTTAACTTACCTTCTTCAAATACTTCTGTTTCTCTCGTGATGCTCAATGAAACAGCTTCTGTAAATTGAAATATGGTAGATATGTGCACTATAAATGGGAAATATTGATTTTATTTTGCTGATTATACATGCTACATGCATTGGGTATCCTAAAGATATTTTATTTGGTTTGTTTAATGTACTTTGAAAAATGAAACTTATACTATGGACAAATCATTTGTTTATAAGACAATTTTCACCAGATAGTTTACCTATAACATTTTCTAAGAACATTTAATGAAATCACCTCCACTTCATTTTTATTTAGCACATATGAATACATATTTTTGTTAATTATGCCATCTGATATTGCTAAAAAATTGTATTACTTATGAATCATTTATTATAGATTTCTTTCTGAAATAAGTGCAAAGAGCATAGAGGGAGACTTTCTGAAAGATGTCTAACAAAATATTTTTTTTAATAGTCTCAGTGAACACCTTTGCTAATTTTAATTTGATTTCTTAGATAAAATATGAAAAAATATATAATGTTAGAAAGTGAAGATTATTTTTATTAAAAATAAACACAATGTATTTTACTTAATACATATACTCATCCTAAAAATATTTGATATTCTTTCTCTTTTGCTTTACTTTTCTTTTGTATCTCTAGATTATATTTTTCCTTCAGAAAACATTTTAGGTTGGTTTTTGTTTCTCTTTTAAAATAATTAAATGAAGACAATTAGGACTTTTACAACATATTACAAAGTACATATGACAAATAAATGTTCCTTCTTCCAAGTGTGGATCTACAAATTTGATTGAAGTACTTAATTATTTTTTCACAGCGTGTTAGTGTTAGAATAAGGCAATATTTCTGGAATTATAAATGTTTTTTCCTCTACAGCTGCACATCTGCAGTTTAAATGCCAGTAGTCTGTTAATACTCTTTGCAAATCTTGTTTTATTTCCTTTCTTATTTAGTTCAGTTGATATTTTAACTCCTCTCCTCTCATACATATAGCATGCATGTACACACACACACACACACACACACACACACACACACACACATCTTAATTCTGGTTGTATTCTTTACAACTAATACATGTGAGCTTAAAACACAACATAGTATAACTATTGTGAAATATTACATGGCAATGGATGAATAAATAAATTAATCAATAATAAATAAATTATATCACCAAAAAATAAGTTACAATTGAGATCTTATTCTTCAAGGATTTCCTAATATACAGAAAAAATAATTATAAGAGGCACATATAGTTATTTGATAAATGTGCCCCACACAAGATGAGCTAGTTTTGCACTTATTTCATTAATATGAATATTTTGACAGATTTGGGGGCAATATATTGCAGACATGGTTTTCTACTGTTTTTTCAAGCACAACAAACTGTAAGCACAAGCATGCTGGCAAATCCAATTCAGAATTATACCTCTAAAATGGTTAGTTTCAATATAAACCTTCTTTAAATCACTAAAATGCCTATTTTCACACTGTGGAAGAGAAGTCAGTTTCATTTTTGTAAAACAAGTAAACTTCAATAAATCAGCATAAAGAAACAAAACAAAGCACTGTGATTAGCAAACATTCTTCCTTATCTTATGCAAAATAGATGTTTCACCCTGCAGCAAAGAAGGAAAGCATTAGAAAAAAGCAGCAAGAAGCATGAGAAACAGCATATGACAATTAGAAGCATTTTAGCAAAATTAATTATTGTTTGCATTAAGATATAATTGCTCAAAATCAGTTCTACAAAATTTTCTATAATGAGCATTAATTTGCCTTAAAGTATGCAACACTTCCTTTGATTGACATAATTTATGCAATTTTATTTTTATAAAAAAGCATCAACATAAGCAATATGGTTATAGCATTAGTATGCAGCGAAATGAAGACAATCATATGAAACACATTAGTTAAACACAGAAATATAATGATGATTAACCTTGGTGCAAGGTTTTTGGTGGCTTCTCCTTGGGCTTCAACTTCACTGCCAAAGATTCTTCCTCATACAGTGAACCTCTTGGAGCTAGATTTTCTTTTTTGAGACCAAACTGGAATTCTTCCTCAACCTCCTCCACCGTATAGCTTTGTTCTGCTTCTTTAGATTTCAGTTGTACCTGAAAACTGCCTTCTACCTCATCAGTTTGATGCTTAGAAGGATACCCCAAATGAATAACTTCTTCAAGTGGTTCTTCCACATGATAACTAGGTTTTCTTCTTAATTCAATTGTGACTCCTTCCTCTGGTTCTTCTTCAATAATTTCCACTATTTCTTCTGGACCTTCTTGCTCTACCTCTTGAGTGATTGTAATTGTCTGCTCTCCTGTTTCTTCACCGTAAGTCATAGGTTTCTGTTTCCTCAATCGTACTCTACCTGACATAGAAATATCTTCTTCTTCATAAGTCTGAAGTTGAATTTTAAATTCTTGCTCAATTTCTTCTTTTGTTTTTGTTACTCTTGGTTTAATGATGATTGTTTCCACTTCAGAAACTTCATTTACCTCTGGCACTGATTTCTTTTTAGGTTTTGGTTTTAATGTAACTTCTTCAGATATTTCTTCTACACTTGGTTTTTGCTTACTGAGTTTCTTTAAAACAATTTCTTCAATGACTTCCTCAGGTTGTTCTTCATGAACAATACCTTCTTCATCATCTGTTGACTTTCTAGGTATTAATTTTGTAATACTTATTTCTTCAGAAACTTCAGTAGTAGGAATTTCTTTCACCTTCTTCTGTTTTAAAGTGACATGTTCACTAACATCTTCTGGTATTTGTACAGGCTTTTTCTTTCGTATAGTAATTTCTTCATTTACATCATCTGAAACTACTTCCTTTTTCTTTTTCTTTAAAGAAAAGGTTTCTTTAACTTCTTCAATTTCCTCAGGTTTCTCTGGCTGTAATTTTATCACTGTAGTTTCATCAGATACTTCTTTCACAGGTATTTTTGGTTTTGGTTTTAAAGTAAATGTCTGATTTGTGTCTTCTTCTTCATCAGGTTTTTGAGGTTGTATTTTCTTAATAGTAATTTCTTCAGTCACACTTTCCACTTCAAACTTTTGAGGTTCCTTCTTTTTTAGAATTACTGCTTCTGTTAATTCTTCTGCTTTAGGTTCTTTTGGCTTGATGGTAACTTCTTCACTTACATCATCTATAGTTTCTTCTGGTTTCTTTGATGATGGCTTTATGATAACTGCTTCTTCCACATCCTCTACCACTTTTAGTTTCTCTTTCTTTGGTTTCTTCTTTTTGAGATTCACTGTTTCAGTTATATCTTCTGTTGGAAGTGTTTTTGGCATAACACTTATTGTGATATCTTCATTGATATCTTCTACAGGTTTCTCTGTTTCTTTTATTAAAGTAAATTCTTCTTCTACTTTGGGTTGCATTTTCTTTGGTTTTAAAATGATTTCTTGAGTAATTTCTTCATCCTCTATTACCTTTGGCTCAAGTTTCTTTGGACTGGTCACAACAATTTCTTCAGTTTCTTCTTTAACATCTTTAAGTGGCTCTTCTTGTACAGCTGGTTTTTCTTCTGTTTTTGGTTTCTTAATTTTAGTTTTCTTCTTTTCTGGGAATTCACCTTTTGGAATTTTCATTGTCACCTGCTCCTCATCTGGTACTTGTTTATCAGCTTCTGGTTTAGGCACTTTCACTATATCTTCTTTTGGCTCTTCTATTGGCTTTTCTTTCTTGAATGGTTTCAGAGTAATTTCTTCAGGAATCTCTGGGACTGGCTCTCCCATTTTTTTCTTTAAAGTGATATCTTTTTCTTCTTCTTCTGGAACTTTCTTTGGTTTACCCAGTTTTAAAGGAAATTCTTCCACTTCTTGTTCAGGTTTGACTGGTTTTAACTTTGGTTTCTTCAACTTTTCTGGCGTGGAAGATTCTTCTTTTTTCACAGGTTCCACTTTTTCGTACTTTTCAAGTTCTAAGTCAGATCCTTCATCAACCTTACCAACAAATGGTGCAAGTCCATCCAAAGGTCCTCTTTTCTTTGCATCCTTTAATGGAACTTCATCAGGCTCTTTCTTTTTCCCTTTTTCTTCTTCTGGTACCTCTTCATCTTGAGGTTTCTGAGGTATTTTCTTGAGCTTGATATTTTCTGGACTTAGTTCCTGAATTTCAGGCACATTTCCTTTGCCAATTACTAGCTTCTTAGGAACAACATCTTCTACTTGCACTTTCTTTGGCTCTCGTACCCAAGTTGTTTCTTCAATTTTCTTTTCTTCAGTTTTCTCTTTCTCCTCTATTTCAAAAGTCTCCGGTTTCTCCAATTCTACTTCTTCTTTCTCTGTATCTTTCATCTGTTTTATTTTCTTTTTCTTTGGTTTCAATGCCTCTTCAACATTTCTTGACAGAATACCTTTATCAGGCTTCACATTAATTAAAGTTATAATAGGCGTCTGCTCCATAGGTGGATATTCTATTACTTTCAGATTACTCTTAAGCATTACTTTAGGCAGTTCTGTGCTTTTAATTTCTCGCTTTTGAATAGATGATTTTCTCAACTTGATCTGTGCAAATAAAGGCACCTCTTCTTTTGGAGCAACTTCAGTCACCTTAAGTTTTGTTGGCTTAATTTCTTTTCTTTCAATCTTCATAAGTTGGGGAAGAGCATCAACCTTTTGTGGTTTAGGCAATTTAGTTTTGGCCTTTTTATCAGATGTTTCCTTAGGAGAAATAGGCTCTGGTTTTGAAACTTCAGGCTCTTCTTTCTGTTTTTCTTCTTCAGGAACTAATTCAGGTAACTCTTTCTCTTTACTTTCTTTTATTTCTTCTTGTAATGGAACTGAAGCCGGTTTTGTCTCTTTCTTTTTCTTTGAAGGCTTTTTAACAGGTTTAGATTCTGGCTTTGCAATTGCCTCATTTGTTCCTGTATCTTCAATGACAGGAACTTTGTCATCTGGCCTTGTTTCTTCTACTTTTCTTTCTGGCTCTTCAGGTATATTTTCTGTGACAGGAGTTTCTTCTTTGATTTGTATTTTTTTCACATCCTTTTCTTTCTTTTTTGTTGGTTTTAAAGGAAGTTTATTCACTTCAACTTCAGAAATAGAAACAGTTTTTTCCTTGTCTTGAACAACCAAAGCTTCCTGGGGTGTTTCCTCTACAATTTTCAATTTTTCTTCATCTGTTACAGCACATATTTCTGTTACTTCAACTGCCTCCTTTAAAAGAATTGTGCTACTTGCCTCATCAGAAACTGGTTTTTGTGAAGGCACTTCTTTAGTAGTCTCCTCAAGTAATTCCACCTCAGATATATTTACAGATTTTTGTGAAATGTCTTTCTTCTTTTTAGATGGGCGATGAGTGAGAACTTTTGTTTGAACTTCTGAAACTTCTGCCTTTTTATCCACTACTATATTTGCTGTTTCTGCCAGAGGAAGTTTTGGTTGAACAATCTCCTCAGTAGCTATCTCCTCAATCTCAAGAGATTCTTGAATTTTTGGAAAACTCTCTTGAGGAATTTCTTTAGGTGTACCTGTTTCATGAACATCTTGAGGTCCTTTAGTTACAATATCTTTCTCATCTTGTACACCTGTTTTTGGTTTCCTTGTTTTTCGTACTTTTTCAATTTTGTCTTGGACATCCTCTTCTTTTGGTGCAGAAATGTGTCTTTTTTCTTCTATAATTGTAGCCTCAGTGGTAGTTACACTTTCTGCTTCTTTAATTACTTCACTACTATTAGATTCCACAACCTTCACACCTATAGACTGCTTTTCCTCTGCGATTGTGGGGCTTACCTGCTCCTTCTTAGGTGTAGATGGTACTGATATATCACCTGCAAATAGGCCAGTTTCAATTTGAGTAATTTGTACATGATCAGTTTCAGGGACTGTAACTGTAGCTTGTTCTTGTGGTGTTGTGAATGGTTCAATATCAATCTCCTTTGTGTCAGTAGTAACTTCAGCAACTTTAGGTGCTTTCTTTGGTTTTTTGCTCACTTTTTGCATCTGTTTTGTGACTGGTGTTGTTTCTTCAGGAGACATAAAGGTAGCAATTTGTTCTGTGGTAACTTCTTGTATTTGTACTGATTCCTGTGTTGACAGTTTTCTTTGAGATGTTTCAAATTGTGGTTGTTGTGGCTTTATGTCCTTACCTGTATCATGTGCCAGTTGTATTTCTGTCACTATTACTGGCTTAGTTGTAGAAAATGAAGTGGTAGTTATTGTCTCACTTGGTGTCTCAATAATGTCAAATTCAGATGGTGTTTCTAAGAGTGGAGCATGGTCAACAGTAACAGAGTCTCTTTCATACAAAACAGTTGTTGCTTGTGCTTCGTCAAGGTGCTTTGTTGATATGAGTTTGTCTGCTTTAAAATGTGGAATCGTTTGTGTCACTGAAACTGTCTCCTTAGGTAAAATTGTGGTAATTGCTTTTTCTGTTTCTGTTTCTGTGGAAAGAACATCATCAAATTTTGTGTGTGTTTCATATGTTTCAATTTCTTGAACACTAATTGATTCTTGATCCAACAAGTCAGGGGTTATGTGTATACCTTCAGGTACAGTGGAGCTGTGCATAATACTTTCTTGATTAGGCTGAACCTCATGAATAGTCAAAGGTACTTGGGGAATAATATCTGACACAGCTGTTTCAAAATGTGATTCAGGTTTGTTAGAAATATTTTCAACTGAAAGTTCAGATACTGTTTCATGAACACAAGCAATTGACTGTTCTTTCCCTTCTATTACAACATTGATGTTGGCACTCTTAGACTTTTCCATAGGAAGCAATTCTTCCGAAGTTTCCAATTTGGAAACATCACTCACTGAAATAAAATTTTGAGGCAAAATATTTACATATTGTTTACCTTCTTGATGAACTGCTTCTTGCAAAGGAACTATTCCATGCTCTTCAACGACTTCCAATACTCCAATTCCCTCTTGAGGAGACACTGATGAAACTGCAACTTCTGTTGTAATTCCATGGTCTTCAATTGGAGAAGTAAAATCTTCAAAAGAGGCAACTATGTTATCGCCCTTAATGTCCTTCAATAAAGGAAGCCCGATGATTTCTGTAACTGATGCTGGAGAATCTTCTATTTTCTTGTCGGAAACTTCTTTTAATTTCTTTTTGTCCACTTTTGGCTTTCTACCGGTATCTTCGGACACTGTAGGCTCTGTAACAGCTTCCACACTATCTTCAGGTATTACAGGTTTTGTCTTTTTAGTTTTCTTTGGCTTTACACTAGGCTTCTTTACTTCCTCAGAGTCTCTATCCTTTACTGAGATAGGTACATCCTCTTCTGGTTCTCTCTTATCTTCAACTTTTTCTTTGTCAATACCAATTACTTTTTCCTTTTCTTTTTCTGCAGGCTTATCCTTGTC